AACCCCCCCCCCCCCCCCCTCCAACATTAAAAAAAAAAAGTTTAATTATTCAACATTTATTCATCTTGTGACTCACATTAAAAAAGTCATCTTTATAACAATCGCTCAGCTATCCCACTTAAATAATGTATCACTTAAATACATGCAATATATATAATATATATATGTACAGTAAAAATAGTTATGATCACAATTTGTATTCAATGCAGGAGTTCTTCACTAATGACAACCATGGAATTTTTTTTAATTACAAAAATTTCTAGTCATGACATTTTGTAGAGACTAAATAAAACAATAAATGATCCCCTAATAAATTAAGACAGATCTATTTGATCAAGCTCTTCAATTTAAGGAACAAGAAACTTTCCACAATGACCCCTTGATGGTATTCATGTCATTACAACAAAAGAAAGATTTTCTGTGCACATGCAGAATGCTGTGAGGGTTCTCCTCTAGGTTTTGGGGCCTACGGTAGTGTTCTCTCATGGCTAGGTTTCAAACAGTGGCATTGGAATCATCATTGTACATCTTCATCAAAAGTTGTTCCATATAACTTAATTGTTTAAAATGCCAAAAATGGTTTCCCCGTTAGTTACAAGAAACATAAAACGTGAGTAAACCATGTCAGAATCTAGAACCTCAAGTAAACCATGTGGCAGCAGAAGTGCATTTGGTGGAAACTCTAGCATATGCCTTCTAGAACCTCAAGTAAACCATGTGGCAGCAGAAGTGCATTTGGTGGAAACTCTAGCACATGCCTTCTAGAACCTCAAGTAAACCATGTGGCAGCAGAAGTGCATTTGGTGGAAACTCTAGCATATGCCTTCTAGAACCTCAAGTAAACCATGTGGCAGCAGAAGTGCATTTGGTGGAAACTCTAGCATATGCCTTCTAGAACCTCAAGTAAACCATGTGGCAGCAGAAGTGCATTTGGTGGAAACTCTAGCATATGCCTTCTAGAACCTCAAGTAAACCATGTGGCAGCAGAAGTGCATTTGGTGGAAACTCTAGCATATGCCTTCTAGAACCTCAAGTAAACCATGTGGCAGCAGAAGTGCATTTGGTGGAAACTCTAGCATATGCCTTCTAGAACCTCAAGTAAACCATGTGGCAGCAGAAGTGCATTTGGTGGAAACTCTAGCATATGCCTTCTAGAACCTCAAGTAAACCATGTGGCAGCAGAAGTGCATTTGGTGGAAACTCTAGCATATGCCTTCTAGAACCTCAAGTAAACCATGTGGCAGCAGAAGTGCATTTGGTGGAAACTCTAGCATATGCCTTCTAGAACCTCAAGTAAACCATGTGGCAGCAGAAGTGCATTTGGTGGAAACTCTAGCATATGCCTTCTAGAACCTCAAGTAAACCATGTGGCAGCAGAAGTGCATTTGGTGGAAACTCTAGCATATGCCTTCTAGAACCTCAAGTAAACCATGTGGCAGCAGAAGTGCATTTGGTGGAAACTCTAGCATATGCCTTCTAGAACCTCAAGTAAACCATGTGGCAGCAGAAGTGCATTTGGTGGAAACTCTAGCATATGCCTTCTAGAACCTCAAGTAAACCATGTGGCAGCAGAAGTGCATTTGGTGGAAACTCTAGCATATGCCTTCTAGAACCTCAAGTAAACCATGTGGCAGCAGAAGTGCATTTGGTGGAAACTCTAGCATATGCCTTCTAGAACCTCAAGTAAACCNACCCCCCCCCCCCCCTAACCCTTTCCCTGGCCTTAACACTAAATTAGGGATAGGTCTGATATAAATTAAACATCTCTTTCAAAACTTTCTTCATTAAAAAATGCCTAGCCCCCAACACAATATACAATACAAACAAACTAGATAATGAACAAGGTATCAATCTTGACTGTACCAGCAGCTGCTATGTAAATCATATTACTGATGTGCAGTGGCTTCCAATAAAGCTCCAGTCTCTCCAAGTCACTCAAGACAAGAGACACTTTGATATCAGTAAAATGAAGCATAGACATAGAGAGAAACATTACAAAATTTCATTACTAAAACCCAGCGGAGGCATTACAACAAAAAAAAAAAGAAGAAGAACTTGTAAAGGGTTGAATCCAACAGGATGTACAATCATGAATTCATGAATGACCTTGTGGAGGGTTGAATCCAACAGGATGTACAATCATGAATGAACTTGTTCAATGATTTGTACAAAATAAAAAAAATGTGGTTGAGTTTCAGTCACAGCCATATGATGACATTTTTTATCTCAATGTTTATATTAGAGGCATACCATCTCCCATCCCCAAGGTTATGTCCCATCCACCCAACTGTCACCACAACTCACTCATACACAGTGGGTTATGTACCCTGTGACCATGGACAGACAAACCATTACAATAAGTCAGTTAAGAATGTCCCAGCACAAGCAAGAGTGCCGCAGAACACTTCAACGTTGGACCACAAAAAGCTTCTAAATTGCCTCGATTTACTAGAACCTAAATACATTTTTCAAATGTAAAACTGATCTCACAGCTTGGACAAGGTTTCATAAAAAAAAAACCAACAGAGCTTGAGTGACAAAATAGTAGAGCTTGAGAACCACTTCGTAAATATTCCAATGGGAAACCCTGTTTAAATTCATTGGCAGTCAAGGCAGTGACAACTTTTAAAGGCCATTTGAACCCAGGAGATGACATAAATCAAAGAACACATTTAACTGAACAAGAACACTTGACTGCAGAAGGCATAAGTGAAATTCACACTGCTTCCTCTTTTGAATAATCTATGAACACACATGCTGAGGCTTATCAAGTGGAATAATTTGGACCCTTGAAAGTGCCATTACAGCAAGTTCGTAAGTACTTCAGTACTTTATATCAATATATATTCAAAGATAAAATAGCGATCAAGTCTACTTGGGCAAACAGTTTAGAATTTTATAACGTTTTCAGCATAAAAAATTGTTTTTAAAATTATTAAATTTCTTTTAATTTTTTTTTTTTTTTTTTAGAATCTTGTTGGTGAGGGCTTGCTTTTTACAACATACAAAAAAAGGTGATAAAATATTTGATATTATCTGTCTCAAACCATCTTCATCTAGCCTCTAATGAGAAAGTTTCCCAAAAAATTCTGTACAAGCAACAAAGTGAAAGCATGAGAATCTCCTTATACAGTCTTGATAATTTCTGTCTGTAAACAAAATACCAGTAGCACACCAAAAAAAAAAAAAAAAA